GGCATGTGCGAAAGGCTGTCCAACAATCGCTGAATCCACTTCTGGTGGATGCTGAAAGTTATCATCTTGCACTGATCGTAAGCCAAACCCCTGCGCATCCAAGCCCACTGACACCTCAGAGAATCCGAAGTGTCACACTCAACCGTGATGCTAGGCCCTCCCAGCTTAACCGTGTTGTTCTCGACCTGCAGCACACTGGGCTTCTCTTTGAAACCTGCAATGACCTCAACCTCCCTCTTCGGGCACTTGGAAGGAGGCAGCCAATAAATCACAGCATTCTCCATCTGATGATTGCAGGCATCAATCAGTTGGAAGGACGGGTCAAGTTCCCCTTCCATGTCTATACCACCCAGTCGAGCCTGTTGACTCTCCTTGCGTGCACGCTTCTCGGGAATTGGGAGCTTCCTCAACGGGGCCCCGTCTGAAGAATCATGACTCACCATGTCCCTGTATGTCTGAATGACCAAAGTCGAAGCTTCGAAGTGCAACTGCCGGATGCATGAAAGCTCCCCCACCGTAGGATCACCCTCCCCCGTGCCAAAGACTTTCCTGGTGAGCTCAGCAAAGGCCTGCTCTGTGGGAGGTGACTGAGGAGTGCCCAATGCAAAAGCGAGGGAACGAAAGGTTTTCACCCCTTGGCCCGAAAGCCCCGCCAGGAGTGATCCATCCCCCCTGACATCCAAGCATCGCCGCTCAAAGGCGGCCTCACTCTCAATCACAGTGGACATGATCGCCCCACCCCGAAGCCACAACTTCTCGAGCCTAGATACACATGTGCACGAGAATGAGAAAACACCTCTCTCAGACAGGTTACAAAGACTGCTCATCTCGATCAAAATGCACATGACATGTTGCAGAAGGAACCCAAGCGCAATCAGAAAGAACATGACTGTTGCAAACTGACATGCTGCAAAGGGACCTAAGCGCACTCAGAGAGAACATGACTGCCGCAGACGATACCCCACTGTTTTTCACACCAAGGCCTCAGCGATCTTGGCACAGAGCCTGCAACGCGTGTACGCTGCCCCTGGCCGGCCTTCGACCTTCTTATGGAGAGGCCCTATAGTGCGACCACACTCGAAGCTCCTGGTGTGCCCTTCCTGAGCAATATGCAATGTCTTGACCTTAGTGTGCTCAAAATAGCACCTGCCAGCAGGAGGGTCANNAGGGATGACCCATCGGGTAAAAGAAACCTTTGAAGCCACCTGAGAATCGTGGGTATCAGAGCTGCTGCTGGAACCTGTAGTTCCCGGCACCGAGCTTTCACCTCCCTCACGCGGAGGCTCACACGTAGCAACGTGATCCACGGCTGGCACTGAAGAATGCGAAGGCAAAATGCCCGCATCGTCTTCTTCCTTTATCTCAATCACCACAGTGGCAGGTGCATTCACGAATCGGCCGCTCCTAGTGCAGTCAGGCTTGAAGGTACCAACCCTGATAGCCTGAAAGATCTTATTCAAGAGAAGCAAGATAGGAGAAGCAGCATCTCTCCCGTAAGTCAGCGGCATCTTAAAATCACCAGTGTGATATCCAAGAAGCAAAAGCTGATCAGGGTTTGCCCCAAACTTTGTTGCAAAGCTTATGCACGTGCATTTACAAGA